GTTCTTACGCGGAGGCCGTAGAGGGTCCCTACTCCTCTCAGTGGCAGGCAGCTATGGATGCAGAGATGGCTTCCTGGAAGTCCACAGGCACCTACGTTGACGCAGTTCCCCCTCCTGGGGCGAACATCGTCAGTGGCATGTGGATCTTCCGGGTGAAGCGGCCGCCGGGCTCTCCACCTGTCTTCAAGGCGCGGTACGTTGCTCGTGGCTTCAGTCAGCGGCAGGGAGTTGACTACTTTCAGACCTTCTCTCCCACCCCGAAGATGACCACTCTTCGGGTGCTGCTGCACATAGCCGCTCAGCGCGACTACGAGCTTCACTCTCTCGACTTCAGCACTGCGTTCCTGCAGGGTAGCCTGCACGAGGAGATCTGGCTGCGCCGTCCACCTGGCTTCACTGGGACTTTCCCTCCTGGCACCCAGTGGAGCCTCCGACGGCCAGTCTACGGTCTCCGCCAGGCACCGCGTGAGTGGCACGACACACTGAGGACTACGCTTGCGGCTCTTGGGTTTGCTCCTTCTACTGCTGACCCGTCGCTGTTTCTGCGCACCGACACTTCACTACCGCCGTTCTACATCCTCGTGTACGTCGACGACTTGGTCTTTGCCACAGCGGACACTGCTGGACTCGCCTACGTGAAGTCCGAACTGCTGAAGAGACACACGTGCACAGACCTGGGTGAACTGCGCAGCTACCTTGGCTTGCAGATCACTCGGGACAGAGCACGCCGCACCATTACCTTGACTCAGTCACACATGGTGCAGCAGGTCCTTCAGCGCTTCGGCTTCACGTACTCCTCGCCTCAGGCCACTCCTCTGCCTACTCGCCACTCACTCTCAGCTCTGCCTTCGGATGAGTCCGTAGAGTCGAGTGGTCCGTATGCAGAGCTTGTTGGCTGCCTCATGTACCTGATGACCTGCACACGACCTGACCTTGCATATCCTCTGAGCATTCTTGCACGCTATGTTGCTCCTGGGAGACACAGACCAGAGCACATGGCTGCAGCGAAGAGGGTATTGCGCTACCTGTGCAGTACGTCGGGCATGGGGCTTGTGCTTGGAGGGCGGAGTCCAGTGGTCCTTACCGGCCACGCGGACGCTTCTTGGGCTGACGACCAGGCTACGCAGCGGTCGTCACAGGGTTACACCTTCAGCCTTGGTTCCGGCTCTGTCTCGTGGCGGTCTACTCGCTCGTCTTCGGTTCTCGGCTCCAGTTGTGAGGCTGAGATCTACGCTGGGGCCATGGCTGCACAGGAGCTTCGCTGGCTCACCTACCTGCTGACTGACCTTGGAGAGCCGCCTCGTTCTCCTCCAGTGCTGTACGTAGACAACAAGGCCATGCTGGCCTTGTGTCGAGAGCAGCGCTTGGAGCACAGAACGAAGCACATTGCTCTCCGCTACTTCCTTGCTCGTGAGCTGCAGCAGCGTGGTCAGTTGCGACTTGCGTACGTGGCCTCTGAGGCCAACACTGCTGATGTGTTCACCAAGGCACTCGCGCCTTGTGACCATCAGCGCTTTTGCACCCAGCTGGGTCTTGTGCCTGTCTTGCCTCACTTACTCTCCTCTTGACTTCACTTGTACTGTGACATATATATATACCTGCTCTTGCTTGTCTAGTTTTATATATATGTCTGTACTCCTGCATGTGAACTGGCCTCTGGCCCTGCTCTTGTGCTCGGACTGTGTGGTGACTTTGTGATCCACCCTGAGCTTGCTTTGCTTTGCTTGACTGGTCTTGTGACCCCTTGTTCTCCCCCACTTTGCCTATGGGGGTGTGTCAAACATTATATATGTTATGCTTGTGTAGGCTACAGTGGGTTAGCCTATAGGGGGTACACAATTCTAGGGTTTCCTACTTGTACTCATTTCACTGCTAGTTCATTCATTCCTGTTCGCTTATTCTCACAATGAATAATTCCATGCGTTCACATTCATTCATTGTTTTTATTTATTAATGTGTGCTACGTCGTATACAGGTATCTTTGCGACCAGAATGGTCGCGTATGCAGGACAAAAAAACCCAACCGAAATATAGTCCCTAGATCTGTACAGTGTTTCAGGGCGGGTCAACGGAATGATGACGGGGTTCATCTGTGAGAGCAAACTTTCGAGTATGACTATCCATGATAGATTTTAGTGCCTTTGAGTGACGGCAGGTGATACCCGTGTGATGTTTCGTGATAGATTTGGCGGGTCTTGTGACCGTTCGTGATAGCGCTGTGATTGCTCGTGATAACTCCAAAATGTTTTATGATGGCCCGTATAAAAACCCTATTTTTTTTCCAACTTCGAACTTGAATTGTTGATAATGTCGGCTGCATTGTCGGCGTTGTCCTGACTCACCGAACTCATCCGGGCAGGGGCGAAAATAGCTGTCGTTCCCTCCCTCCACCTGTTGCAAATTTTCACCTGTGTTGTCGCTAGTACCCCTGAGCAGCTTCCGAGTTGACTGCTACACTTTTAACGACGAGTGCCTTCGCGCGCTTAATCAAGCGACGCTGCAACTCCGCCGTTGGCACGGATACTATCGACGACCTCGCCAACTCCGCTAAAACTCATCCTCGGAATTGCAAGTGGCACCCGTAAATGTCGGAAATTAAAATACCCCGAAAATCTTGGTCACCGGCAGGTTGTCCTCCGAAAGAACCGGTGTTTCTAGCACGCCCACCCGGTCACCATTTTTTGCGTGCGGTTAACCACCCAAGCCACCCACCAACAGAAGGTGCTTTTTCGGCGTGGAACCCAGCACTTATGGGTCTTTCGAGACCAATTTTCACGGACCCTAGCGCGTATCGACGCCGCAGATCTCGCCGTTGAACTCCCCAAGGCAAACTCCTGAAGTACACCGTCAAGCTTAAAACAAACTGGCGAGCAGACGTTCACCCGTCTCCCCCCATCAAAATGTAACCCGAAGATCGTGGTTGCAGCAACGAGCCCCGAAGTATTTTATGCCTTGTAGCCCAGACGTTTCCACCGTTGACCCTGGTACTCCGGCGTTCACCCATCTTCGTACCTGTCGAGATTACTTAGCAAATCCCAAGCATCCTTGGCAATACACCCCTCGCCGTGCCTCCATGTGTGAGATATCCAACCCTTCTGGCGCCCACCGAGTAGACCCCGAAATTCACGGTGGAGTGGTAAGGGGCTCAACCTATCACTCAAGTGGCTTGAAGAGGCACCCACAACTTTCCCTCCATTTTTTGTCTTCACCCCACGACAATTTCGCTTGCCGCCGTTCACCCAGCGTCCGCTTTTGTTGGATGATGTATTCTTCGTGTTGACCCGCGATTTTTCTGGCGTTCGATGAAGGCGCGAACGCTATCATAGTAGAGCGAGTTTATCCTATCAAACTCTCAGCCGGCCGCTTCGCTGCCCATTGTGCCTATCGCATTTAAGAACTCCGAAGCTTTGGGAACCCCGTCTTCGCTGCTACACCTTCGTCGGGTAGACTGTTGAATTCGGAGGAACACCGCCAGCTGCCACAACTTCTTCAACTCCGACTAATTCGGCAAGGTAACTGTTGCCGATGGTCCGTTTTTGTCGGAGGCGAAAAGTGTCGCATCCTTAAATTTTTTCTTGAACGCCCAACTGTCGAACCAGCGCCACCCACGCCTTTCTAACCAGCACAGGGCTAAAACACAGGGCCCCACCTTTTTCGTCCAGGTTCCAACAGGACTTACTTATTGCCTTCGAGGCAACCTGGTGTGAGGTATGTGAAATGTTGGTAGACTTTGGCCGGTAGGGAGCTCCTTCTGCTACCGCCGCTTAGCCGCGAAACTCGGCCTCAGCAAAAAGTCGTCGTAGTAGGTCGTTTTCTCCCTTCCTGAAGCTCGGAATCCGTTTCTCTCACCAGACCTTGTCAAACTCATATGCTATAGTCTGTGTAGGCAGTAGTGGGGTAGACAATATGGGGTACAACACTTTTAGTTTTTCCTACTTGTACCCACCTACTTGCTAGTTCATTTCATTCCTCATTTCTTTACATGGTATAGAGCAGGTTCCCTAGTGGGAACGCTTCCTAGGGCCCACCACTGAAAATCGAGTTTTTTTTTTTTTTTTTTTCTGACTGGAGCGCGAGTCGCCCCTGCCCGAGGCGCGCCCCGTGGGCCGCCCTCTCGTCGCGTCCCCTGCCCTTAGCGGCCCGTCGCGCCCTCCTTTCTCGGCCCCTCGCGCCACCCCTAGCGGCCCCGTTGCCGCCCTTCGCGACCCGTCGCCGCCCCTCGCGGCCCCGTCGCCGCCCCTCGCGGCTCCGTTTCCGCCTCTCGCGGCCCCGTCGCCGCCCGTTACGGCCCCGTCGCCGCCCTTCGCGGCCCCGTCGCCGCCCCTAGCGGCCCCGTCGCCGCCCTTCACGGCCTCGTCCCCGCCCTTCACGGCCCCGTCGCCGCCCCTAGCGGCCCCGTCGCCGCCCTTCGCGGCCCCGTCGCCGCCCCTATCGGCCCCATCGCCGCCCTTTGAGGCCCCTCGCGGCCCCTTTTGCGGCCCCGTCGCCGCCCCTTCTTGGCCCCGTTGCCGCCCTTCGCGGCCGCGTCGCCGCCCCTAGCGGCCCCGTCGCCGCCCTTCTTGGCCCCTCGCGGCCCCTTCGCGGCCCCGTCGCCGCCCCTAGCGGCCCCGTCGCCGCCCTTCGAGGCCCCTCGCAGCCCCTTCTCGGCCCCGTCGCTGCCCTTCGTGGCCCCGTCGCCACTCTTCCCGGCCCCTTCTCGGCTCCTCCGCCACCAGCAGCACCCGCCGCCAGCAGCAGCCGCCGCCGCCGCCAGCAGCAGCCGACAGCAGCAGACGCCGCCGACAGCAGCGGCGGCCGCCACCAGCAGCAGCCGTCGCCGCCGACAGCCGCGACTGCCGCCGCCACTGACAGCAGGAGCTGCCGCCGCGGTCAAGGCTCAGTCCCTGCCGATGCGCCTCGGCCCTGCCCCACCGCTTGCCGGCCCCTACGTACCAGCCCTGGTGAGAGCACTGCCGAGCCACGCCTGCTACTGCTGCCCCTAGCCTGCTGCCACTACTGTAATGGCTACCCCTAGCGTTCTAGTCTTTGATGCTGAGGGTCGGGCTGTTGACTTTGAGGTCTGGGTCGATGATCTACAGCATTTCCTACAGTGCGATAGGAAGGACAGTCTCTCACTGTTCGATCTCAAATCTGGCGCCTCTGCTGCCCCTGCTGCCGATGCTGACAGCACTGTTCGCTCACAGTGGGCCACACGCGATGCTGCTGCCCGTCTTGCTGTGCGTAGTCACTTAGCGTCCACTGAGCGCGCGCACTTTAGTCAGTACAAAAGTGCTAAGACCTTGTACGATGCTGTAGTTGCACGCTACTCTTCCCCTGCCACTGCTGCCCTTAGCCGCCTCATGCTGCCGTACCTGTTTCCTGACCTCGCCGCCTTTTGCATAGTCGCTGACCTCATTACGCACCTTCGCACTAGTGACACTCGCTACCGCGCTGCGCTTCCTGCTGAGTTCTGCGCCAAGAACCCCCCCCCCATGTACATCACCCTTTACTACATAGTCACCCGGCTCCCTGACTCCCTTTGCTCGGTCAGGGACCACTTCCTCTCTGTTTGCCCCACCACTCTCACCGTTGACCTCTTCCTGGCAGTCCTGGTAGCTGAGAAGAGTATAGTTGCTGTAGGAGCCTCTCGTGGTGACCCTCGTGCCCCCTTCTTTGAGGGGTGCTCCCCCTCCCCCCTTTTGCCCTCTAATGCCTCTGCTGCTGCCGTCGACATTGTTGGCACCGAGCCGGTCGGCGCTGCGTCTGCCCCTAGCGGGAGACGCCGCACCGGCAAGGGCAAGGGGGGCAAGGGCGCTGGAGGGGCTGGTGGGGGCGGTGGAGGTGGCGGTGGAGGCGGCGGAGGGAGTGGGGGTGGCGGTGGGAGTGGTGGTGGGGGTGGGGGCTTCGGTGGCGGCGGTGGAGGCGGAGGCGGCGGCGATGGAGGGGGAGGCGGCGGAGGCGGTGGCGGTGGGAGCGGAATAGGCGGCAGTGGTGGAAGTGGCGGCGGCGGAGGTGGAGCTGGTCGGGGTGGCTCTGCGCAGCCGGGCGGCTTTGGTGGTGGTCAGCGCCAGCAGCAGCAGCGAACTCATGAGGCCCCGCCCCCCCAGCAGCTTCGTGAGTGGTACGTTGCGCGTCAGCAGGGTGGGGGTGCTGGTCCTTGTGCCGACGTCCCGCGTACCGGCGACCGCACTGGTGAGCCGTGCGGTGGCCCGCACACCACCCAGCGCTGCTTCAGCAGCCTGACGGACACTTGGCGTCTCTAGTTCCCTAACGCCACTGAGATCCCCCGCTGGGGCGAGCTGCTTAGGTCGGGGGTTGCTATCTTTGATCTAGATTATGATGCTATTCTTGCTGCCATGTATGTTGTGTCTACTAGTGATGAGGGTGACTGTTACCTGTCTGTTCCGCCTGACCCGGGCATTGAGGCTACTGCTCTAGCTGCTGGTGAGGCTGCTGCTCTAGGTGCTAGTGCGTTTGCTGCCCCAGGTGCAGGTGAGTCTGCTCTCTCAGGTACCACGTCGGCTCAGGCCTTACACACCTTCACTCTTGACTCGGGTGCTTCCCGCTCCTTCTTTCGAGACCGCACCACGCCTACGCCGCTTAGTCGGCCAGTTGCGGTCTCCCTGGCGGACCCCTCTGGGGGTCCTGTCCTTGCCCACTTCTCCGCTGTCTTACGGTGTCCAGCGGCCCCTTCTGGCACCCTGTCAGGTCTCTACCTCCCCTCGTTCTCTACAAACTTGGTGAGTGGTGCTGATCTACAGGATGGGGGGGTTGACCAGTTTACTCCTGCGAGTGAGCGGGTTACCCACCGTACGTGTGCTCGGACAGGCCGACACTTGGCCACGTACGGCGGGTGTTCCCCTTGCGCAGCAAGGGTTACGTCACTGAGGTGTTGATCGACTGGATCCGCGCAGCTCGTCTCCAGCTCAGAGAGAGTTTTGGCTTGGACTAACCTGTTCTGCGTCTGCACTCTGACAGAGGCGGGGAGTTTTCCTCTGCCCTTCTAGGAGCCTTCTATCGTGCACAGGGCATCCGCCAGACCTTCACACTTCCGGCCTCTCCATAGCAATATGGGATTGCTGAGCGCCGCATTGGCATGGTCATGGACGTCGCTCGTACGTCCATGATTCATGCGGCTGCTCCCCATTTTCTGTGGCCGTTTGCGGTTCAGTACGCAGCGCATCAGATCAACCTTCAGCCCCGCGTCTCCTTTCTAGACACCTCCCCCACCTTGCGGTGGATGGGGAAGGTTGGCGATGCGTCTGCGTTTTGGGTCTGGGGATCTCGGGCGTTTCTCCGCGACTTGTCTGTGGACAAGCTGTCCCCCCGTGCTGTTCCCTGCGTCTTCCTTTGCTTCCCCTTTGACGCGCATGGTTGGCAGTTTTACCACCCCACCTCGCGCCGTGTTCTATCCTCCCAGGACGTCACGTTTGACGAGTCGATGCCTTACTACCATCTTTTCCCTACCGCAATGCGCCCCTCCCCCCGCTGCCGCTCTTCCTTGCGCCAGGTCCCCCCCCGATAGACCCTCTCCCCCCTCAGGGTCATGCCCCGTCAGGTGTGTCCTAGGTAGACGCAGTCGAGCCTGTCGAGTTAGCTGGTGACTCTGGAGCTGCTAGGGGTGCTGAGCCTGGGGGTGCTGAGTCTGGGGGTGCTAAGCCTTGGGGTGCTGAGCCTGGGAGTGCGGAGCCTGCGGGTGCGGAGCCTGGGGGTACGAAGCCTGGGGGTGCTGAGCCTCGGGGTGCGGAGCCTGAGGGTGCTTGGTCTGCTCATGTGGCCTCTGGCGGTGCTGGATTTGGGGGCCTTTTTGGTGCTTCATCGAGGCGAGAGCTACCCTCTCCACAGGAGCTGCGCGAGTGGTTTGCCCGGCGATGGAGCCGTGCTGCTGGAGCTGGAGGTGCTACTGTTGCTGCTGACTGTGGGGTCGGCACTGGAGTTACAGGAGCCACTGGTCCTGGAGGTGCTCGTACTGACGAAGCTGGAGCTGCTGGGACTGGGGGTGCTGCTGGAGGTACTAGAGGTACTGGAGCTACTGGGCCTGGAGGTGCTCCTGATGCTGGAGCTGCTGGCGGTACTGGAGCTGGCGGTCCTGCTGGAGTTGGTGCTGCTGGAGCTGCTAGAGCTGGAGCTGCTGGAGTTGCTGGAGCTGGAGCTGCTGGGGGTGTTGGCGCTGGAGGTGCTGCTTCGCTGGTGCTTTTGAGGGTGCTGGAGTTGGCGATGTTGGAGCTGGAGGTGCTGCTGGCGCTGGTGCTGCCGCTGGGGGTGCTGGTGCTGTCCCTGCTGGTTCTGAAGGCGCTGCGCGGCCGCAGCCGTACTTCGTTCCGCTCCTTGAGCAGGTTCTTGGTCTCCCGCCTTCTACTGGTCCTGCTCCTCCCTTAGAGTGTCCACAGCCTGTCCAGTCACAGTTACAGCCCGCCTCCCCCCTGCCTGCTCCTTCTCCCTACACTGGTCCTACTAGAGGTCTTGCTGAGCGTCGTGAGCCTGCGTCTCGTCCTGCGTCGCCTGTTCGTGCTGCTCGCACTAGTGGTCGTGCTCTGCGTCCGCGTCCTCCTACGGTCCCAGGCACACACCTGATGGCACTTCGTCCTTCCACTGCTCCTCTGCGTGTCCCATTGCCGTCTCCTCTAGAGTCCGCTCTTCCTGTTCTTGCTAACCCGGAGTCTGACTCTCTTCGTGCTGCCAGTCCTACTATCACGCGTCTTCTCGCTACTGTTGTCACTGACCCTTCCTTTGAGTCCACTGCGACGTCTGCCTTAGTTGCTGAGCTTGTCGACTTTACTGCGCGCTGTCGTCTAGACTACGCCGCTAGTCTTGTTGCTGAGTCTGAGTCTGTCTGTCCTCCGTCCGTCCGGGGTGAGTCTGCTTTTAGCACGGACGTCCTTGAGGACATGCAGGAGGAGTTCCTGTGTTTTGCTGCTGCTTTGCCTCATCTCGTGTCCATGCTGATTGCCCCTGAGAGAGACCTGGATGCACCAGACTTCCCGGCTCCGCGCCCTTACGCAGAGGCGATAGAGGGTCCCTACTCCTCACAGAGGCAGTCAGCCATGGACGCAGAGATGGCTTCCTTGAAGTCCACAGGCACCTACGTCAACGAGGTTCCCCCACCTGGGGCAAACATCGTCAGTGGCATGTGGATTTTCTGGGTGAAGCGGCCGCCGGGTTCTCCGCCTGTCTTCAAGGCGCGTTACGTGGCTCGAGGCTTCAGTCAGCGGCAGGGAGTTGACTACTTTCAGACCTTCTCTCCCACCCCAAAGATGACCACTCTTCGGGTGCTGCTGCTCATAGCCGCTCAGCGCGACTACGAGCTTCACTCACTTGACTTCAGCACAGCTTCCTGCAGGGCAGCCTGCACGAGGAGATCTGGCCGCGCCGCCCACCTGGCTTCACTGGGTCGTTTCCCCCTGGTACCCAGTGGAGCCTCCGGCGGCCAGTCTACGGTCTCCGCCAGGCGCCCCGTGAGTGGCATGACACACAGAGGACTACACTTGCAGCTCTTGGGTTTGCTCCTTCTACTGCCGACCCGTCGCTGTTTTTGCGCACCGACACCTCTTTGCCGCCGTTCTACATCCTCGTGTACGTCGACGACTTGGTCTTTGCCACTGCTGACACTGCTGGACTCGCCCACGTGAAGTCCGAGCTGCATAAGAGACACACGTGCACAGACTTGGGTGAACTGCGCAGCTACCTTGGCTTGCAGATCACCCAGGACAGAGCACAGCGCACCATTACCCTGACTCAGTCACACATGGTGCAGCAGGTCCTTCAGCGCTTCGACTTCACGTACTCCTCGCCTCAGGCCACTCCTCTATCTACTCGCCACTCGCTCTCAGCTCTGCCTTTGGATGAGTCCGTAGAGCCGAGTGGCCCGTACCCAGAGCTTGTTGGCTGCCTCATGTACCTGATGACCTGCACACGACCTGACCTAGCATACCCTCTTAGCATCTTGGCACGCTATGTTGCTCCTGGGAGACATCGACAAGAGCACATGGCTGCAGCAAAGAGGGTGTTGCGCTACTTGTGCAGCACGTCGGGCATGGGGCTAGTGCTTGGAGGGCGACGCCGAGTGGTCCTCAAAGGTCCCGGAGACGCTTCTTGGGCTGACGACCAGGCTACGCAGCGGTCGTCACAGGGTTACACCTTCAGCCTTGGCTCCGGCTCTATTTCGTAGCGGTCTACCCGCTCGTCTTCTGTTTTCGGCTTTAGCTGTGAGGCTGAGATCTACGCGGGGGCCATGGCTGCATAGGAGCTACGCTGGCTCACCTACCTGCTGACTGACCTAGGAGAGCCGCCTCGTTCTCCTCCAGTTCTATACGTAGACAACAAGGCCATGCTGGCCTTGTGTCGGGAGCACAGACTGGAGCACAGAACGAAGCACATTGCTCTTCGCTACTTCCTTGCTCGTGAGCTGCAGCAGCGTGGTCAGCTGCGCCTTGCTTACGTGGCCTCTGAGGCCAACACTGCTGATATCTTTACCAAGGCACTTCCGCCTTGTGATCATCAGCGCTGCTGTACGATGCTTGGTCTTGTGCCTACTTGTCCTCACTTGCTCACTTCTTGACCTTGCTCTTACTGTGATCTTTCTATACCTGCACTTGCTTGTTTACCTTTATATGTGATCTTGCATGTGAATTGGCCTTGTGGCCTTGACCTTGTGCTCGGAATGTGTGGAGACGTTGTGATCCACCCTGAGCTTGCTTTGCTTTGCTTGACTGGTCTTGTGACCTCTTGTTCTCCCCCACTTTGCCTATGGGGGTGTGTCAAACTCATATGCTATAGTCTGTGTAGGCTGTAGTGGGGTAGACAATATGGGGTACAACACTTTTAGGTTTTCCTACTTGTACCGATCTGCTTGCTAGTTCATTTCATTCCTCATTTCTTCACAGACCTGTATTTGTCGCAACTCCGTTTATTGTAGCCGGTAGACCAGGCGAAATTCGCGGGTCTAGACGTTGCGTCAAACCATTGTCCCGTCGGGGTACTGCCCTGTCTGCGGCGCAACTTCCCTTGATCAGGGGGAACCTGTGTCGCCTGAAGTAAAGTGTCGGCTGCTACTGTCGCTCCTATTTTTTCGCCGATCTCGATGCAGGCACTGAAGTGACCCTAACGCGAACAGTCTAGTCGTAGACGGCCTTTTCTGATCTTTTCGGCGGTTTGAAAATAACTTCCGTCCCACACTCTGCCGCTCTTGCCGAAAAACGCCCACGATGCACCCTCCTACAGCAATGCCAGTTGCACCCGCGCGAGACGACGGTAGACCCCCGCTGTCTTCGGGCAGTCTCCACGCCGCCTCTCTTCGCCATCGGTTTTCCTGACGCAAATCACACATCGCACCTAGCTGCTCGCACAACAGCCGTTTTCTGAAAATCTTCGCGCACAGTGACCACGATGACCACTTGCCGAAGACCTCCGAAAATCTCGTGCGCAACGTGACGAGGTCGCCCGACGCCACTTGCCGCACGCATTAAGGACGTGGGCCCAATCGACTTTTTTTCGGCGCGATCAGAGGCGATCAAAAACTTCGAGAAAGGCGGGAAGCAGATTTCAGGCAATCGGGGGCAATCAGCTGATCGTGCAGTTCAATCAACCGCCTCAAACAGCCCGATCAGACCCGATCGGACACAATCAGCCCCGATTACTTGATTGCATATGATCGGCGACTTGGGCGATGTACGCGAAAGTAACACGCCTCGCCATGAGGTCTCAAAAATCCTTGCGAATACACCCAGATCGGCGAGAACTGTATGCCATAGCCCTCGAACTGGAGCGGACCTTGTGCGGTGCGCGACATTACCACGACACTGAGATTCGTCCATCTTGTTGAAGGAAGTTGGCCCCGCCCTCGCATGGGCAAAACTGACTTCATGGTCGGGTGTGCGGGAGGTGCAGGCGACCGTCTGCAGGTGTACGAGGGTTGCCTGTACACGAGGTGTATTAGGGAATCCATGCAAGAGTAATCGAAGCACCCGCGAGTGCAACTCAGACTTCCCGTGCGCATGTACAAGTTGCGCAGCTCGTGCAGAAGTTCGCGGGTGTTCGTCTGCGCAGGGTCGCGTCTGACCTTGCGCACCCTTGAGATTGCACATGCAAATTTTGGCCAGAAATTCGAATGTGCCCAAATTTCGACCAATTAGGGGCTGACATTTTGAAATGTCAACCGAGGTGCTCAACGAAGGTGCTCGACGAAGGTCGTCGAGCAGCGACGACGAAGGTCCTCAACCCGCGACGACGAAGGTCGTCAACCGGTGATGACAAAGGTCATCATCCTGCAGAGATGTCAAGGACTTCGTCTGGTTGACCAAGTTACCTGCTCGACGAGTGCGCGAAGGTGTGCGAATGTCGTCGAGGCTGCTGTGGCAAAGTCGACCGACGTGGCAGCACATGGTTGACGTGGCTCATCATGTGCAACCGTCACCATATGGCTGACAACCTGCGCAATGTGTGTGACAGTGCACGTCGTGCATAACTGTCTACAAGCACCTGCGAAGTTGGTGCTTGCACATGCGCTTACAATCACCTGCGGATGTAATGTTGGCAAGCCGCGCGGATGCTGCGTTGGCAAGCCGCCATCT